TATATATATATATATATATATCTGTATACCTGAGATCACTAAAAACACCATTCCAGAATCCATACTTAAGATGCACCAGCATACTGATAACTGTATGGATTCATACTTTGCACTGGAATTGGAGATAACTCCTTTTGTGTTCCATGGAAGAAAGTAAGTCATAAAGGTTTAATATAATGGGGTTGAGTACAGTATGGCAGAATTTGGTAACACTTAAGTACAGGGACCAATTCTCACTATTGACTATTTTATTATTAACATATTGACTGTTTATTAGTACTTATAAAGCACATATTCTGCATGACCATATTCTACATCCCTAATCCTACCCAATACCAGCAAATAGCAGCAAATTAGGAGTTTATTGAGGCAAAAGTCGTAGTTAATGGTTTGTTAATGGCGAGAATTGGACCTTAAAATAAAGTGTGACCCAGAATTTTCATTTTTGTGTGAACCACTCTTATAAAAAAAAGGAAAACCAAATTTGTTATCCAATTAATCATTGTCGTCTAGAAGAAAAAAAAATGCTATGTTAAAAAGATATTCTTTCCCAAAGTATTCTGTCCTATGAGTCAAACTGCAGTTATAATAAGATAACTCTTATTATAAGAGTAAATGGACAGTTCAAACACAATACTGCTAGGTCCCAGCCGTCAGACTTACATAACACAACAAAGAAAAGACTGAGCACTGTTTACCCAGCAGCCCAATAAATGCTGAACTGCAGTGCTAACAAGGCTGCCACACCTTGCATGGATTTGTGTTGTAATGTGACAGGTGAGGGAGTGAAGCTAGCTTGATTCAGACTGAAGAGAGCTGGCTGTCCCGGAAACAACTGCTTTCTGTTTGGCAACCATACTATTGATGGTCCCCATTGACTCCCATATTATGAAAAAAAAATACTGTGGAAGTCAATTGGGACCATTAACTGTTTGGTTACCCACATTCTTCAAATTTTCTTTTATGTTCCACAGAAGAAAGACACTCATGCAAGTTTGGAACATTTCGAGGCTGAGTAAATTAAACTTTCTTTATTGGCTGAACTATCCCTATATATATATATACAGTATA